TCCCCCTGAAAATGACAGAATATTCTAGATCTCTTTGTGATATTAAAAATACCATTTTTCTAGCACCCTCCAGACCCCCCAAATGTTAGACTTTTAGGGAAAGAAGCAAACAAGCAAGTAATTTGAAGAACACAAAACCAGGCTGATATCAATTCCTTCCATGACTGGCCTATATCCTGCAGTGGTGGGCTACTGTTGAGGCAATGACCAACAAAAGGGGCCACAGTGTCCCAGTGAAGGAGATGAAAGAAGGGTATTTGGTAGGGGCGCATGATTTAATCAGTCTGAGTGTCTTCTTGGAACTAATTCTGCTCTGACAACACTTGCTGGATAAACTCTTTATGTAAATCTATGCTCTGGATCAAGGAAATGAACCTAGGGATATTAATCTCCCTGTAACACGATTCAATTCATGCCATTTCCCTTTAAAACCTTCAAAAAATATCTGTTGAATAAATGAATGCTGAACTGTTAGTGGTTACTCATTGCCTATAAAGTTTAAAAAGTGGCCTTGGAAGATTTCCATAAACTGAAGCCAAAATATATCTCATTCATTCATTTGTTCAGTAAAGATGTACTGGGTACCTAATAAGGAAGGGAACTTTTTTCTTGGTGGTGGAAATTCAGATATGAACAGATATACCACCTACTTGGACCTAACTTCTTGGGAATACATCTGATCTTCCGCTATTTATTATCACTAAGGGCTGCCCACCCGCCCACACCTTCTTAGACACAATCCAAGCTACTTTGTTAAAGTTCTCTATCCTTCCCTTGCAGCACCATATGGGCAAGTCTGACTTTTCCCTCAAAAATTAAGTTCAAGTGTGCCTTCCTCAAGCTCCCTCCTGACCACACTCTCTTTCCTCCTCTGACATGAAGGAAGCACTGTCCTCTGCACTCACCAAGAACTTGACCTGCAGCTTTGTTTTGGCATTATCTTCTCTATTACTGTTACTTCAATATTTTTTCCTCTATCTTTTCAACTGTACTTACAGCAGCTAGCCTACTAATAGTTGGCACTTAGTAAATAAATAAATGTCAAATAAATGAATGAACTAATGAAGTCCTTGTGACTTAAGTTGTAGATACTCTGTTTACACACTTGAGAATACATTTCTCAAATCCACTTAAAGGTATGAGTTCATCAACTCAAAAGCCAAATAGGTCATTTGTTCCAGATTATTCAATGCAATGAAAATGTAAAAATGCCTGTAAGAACATAAAAATGTGTTGGACTGCATAGCTCGTTGAAGTATTTGAGGCAGAATCATGCACTATCTCCAGAGAAATGAAATTTGAAGGGTGTGCTTCTAACCACTGAGTGACACCAGTTCTTTCTAAAATGATTTGAAGATTTGAACAGCAAATCTATACTTTCAAGACTTCAACTGCACTCACGTCAATCCCCTAATCCTCTTGCTTCTTCTGCTGATCAGTCCAGCTGATCAATCCAACTGAATTCTCCATCTACCTGGGCTGTTGAACAATACGAGAGAATATCCCGCAATTCCTTGGGATCCCTTTAAGTATTTTATTTATTTATTTATTTGAGAGAGAGAGGGAGAGAACAAGCTGGGGAGAGGGGCAGAGGGAGAAGCAGACTCCCCACCGAGCAAGGAGCCTGACGTGAGGCTCGATTCCAGGACCCTGGGATCATGACCTGGGCAGAAGGCAGATGCTTAAATAACAGAGCCACCCAGATGCCCCTCCCTTGGGACATCTTAAATGTCCCTGATGAGTTCCTTCTCTTATTCCCTCAAGAGTTACCTCCAAACTACTTCTTCTCAAGCCACCTACCAATCTCCATCCCCTCTAATTTCAGGAATGACAACAGAGCTCTCCTCATGATAATAACAATAATAAACTGTATCAGCAGCATTTGCTAAACCCTATGCTTACTGAGGCATTTTACCTCTGGGGCATTATCTCAGTTAATCTTCACAAGGAGCACCACTTATTGAAGTAGGTACTATTGTCCCCATTCTACAAATTAGGAAACCGAAGCAGAGGTCAAATAACTTGCCCAAGGCCACAAAGTCACTAAGTGTAATATCCAGTTATGAATCCAGGACTTGGATTTATAACCTGGATATGACTAACTCTAGGACCAACTGGTAAGCCTATACTATGTTGACTCCCTGTTCTCATCTTCCCTCGGGACACGGTAAAGGCAGGGAGAGGATTTTTAATAGGCTGTGTGGCTCTGGCCCCAAGCCAGCTCACCCTGGCCTTTAGAGAACCAGCCTCTATCTCTTCAGTCCACAGTTCTACAACCAGTGTCAACTAGTCTGGAGGAGGAGAGGCAATGTGGATACACATCTGAGTTTTATTAACTGCATTGACCTAACCAGCCTTAATTCAGGTTGCCATAGCAGAATATAACAGACAATGTAGACTGGGTGACTTAAACAACATTTATTCCTCACAGTTTGGGAGGTTGAGAAGTCCAAGATCAAGGTGCCAGCAAGATCCAGCGTCTGGAGAGGGTGGGCTCATGGGCTTCCTGGTTTACAGGTGGCCATCTTTTCCTGACAAGGCAGAGAGTAGAGAGAAAGGGTTAGCTCTCATCTCTCTTTTTATAAGGGCACTAATCCCATTCAAGAGGGCTCCATTCCGAGGACCTAATCACTTCCCAAAGGCTCCATCTCCTAATACATCACATTAGGGATTAGTTTCAACATATGAGTTTTGGGGGACACAAGCATTCAGTCCATAGCACAGCCTTACTGGAAAAAGCAATTGATTTTACACAAAAACAAAATGTCTCCTTCTTTTGTTCCCTCCCTTTTGATTTCACCTAGGTTTCAATAAAGTACCATCCTAGGGGTGTTCTGACTACCTGTTGTCTGTCATTAGGCCCACTTACTTCCACACCTCCACAGACACTTCCATCCCTCTTATTAATCATAGAAGTTACCTTACCACATTGGGAATGGAGTGGTGCCCTAGACGATCACTTCTCAAACTTTAATACACATATAAATCACCTGAGGATCTTACTAAAATGTAGATGCTCATGCAATAGGTCTGGGGTGACACCTAAGGGTCTGTATTTCTAAAAAACACCCAAGTGACACCCATGCTGCTCATCTCCAGCCCACACTCTTGAGTAGCAATGCCCTAGATATTGGCACATGAAGAGTTAGTTCTTCCTTGGTGATCCTGTTAGTGCTAAGTGATTTTCTTCCCAAATGTGTAAATTACATTCTGCTCTGGTGATTAAAACTACACAGAGTATGCAGTTGCATATTATACATTATACATGTTACACACTATGGATACAAATTATTAAACTTCACCAGGTTTTTAAACTTTGAATTTTTTGCACAAGTTCGATTTTCCTCATTTATGTCTACTTGTTTCTGAAGCAGCAGAACTGTTTCTTTTTTGCTACTCGCTGATACACCATGGGCAATTTTTCATGCCTACAACCCACCACACTGACTTCCTATGGATTCAGGGAAAGGTTTTTCTTCCTGTTCAAGAAAATCCATGTGTCCTGACTTCACCTCTTTCTACCTCACAAGAAACTCATTCAGTTACCTGCTTTCTCTTGCTCATCAGCCTCCTTCTGTTTTATATAGTCTCAAATTTCTCTACAGTAATACTGACAGAAAACTTTCATAAAAATACAGTATTTTAAAAAATATGGAGAACAATTTAGCAAAATTTTAATTGCTAAATTTAAGTGGAGGATACAGACAGGTGTTCATTGTACTAGTCTTGCAACTTTTTTCAGTATTTGAAAAAACTTTGAAGTTTAGGGTATAGTTAGACATAGGAACAATTAACAATTTTTCCTATTTGCGAGTTTCTCCCCAGGACAAACATATTCCAGGATAGGACTTCAGTCTAAATCTCCTCCAGAGCTTCTCATTCACTAACTTGTTACAAATCTCCTTCCAAAAAAATGTATTAGGCCATTTTTAAAAAGTCTGTGTCCAATATGATATACAAGCATGTCCTTTCAGTCTTTTTAGATTATAAAATAATAAAGAACAAATTTTTGAAACTTAGTTTTTCTAGCATGAACGCTAGAAATGTCACCAACCTACTCTCTCTAGATTACTTACTTCCTCCTGCCTACTATAAACCTTGACTATCCCTGCAAATCTAAATTCTCTATCAGATCACTTTAAATTCTATGGCTTCCTATCCATTTTTTTTTTAAAAAGCGGGGGAGCTCTCCGTGCCCTGTCTGCCTCCCACCGTATCATACACCTCACCTCCACAGGTGACAACCAGGGCCTTGAACAACTGCATTCCAAGAGGAACACCGAGCCACTGGCACTCCTGTCCCTGCACTACACACTTGCCTCCAACTGGGCCACAAGATTCTCTGAGGACCAGAGAGATGTCAGTCAGCATCTTACACACTTCCAGCTTGCCTTCCCCAAGACTAATGTGGCACTTTATCCAAGGTAGGTGTTTAAGTATTTGCAAAATAGTATTTCTAGTTACTTCCCAGGCAAATGCTGCCCAAAATGAAATGCTTTATACATCATGCTTTAATTTTATCAGACGGGAGTCCTGTCTAAACAAGTCTCAATGGTTATCAACCTAGGGAAATTTTGCCCTCCAAAAGACATGAGGCACAATCTAGAGGCATTTTTAGTTGTCATTAACTAGGGTGGGTGCTACTGGCATCTAGTGGGTTGAGGTCACGGATGCTGCTCAACACCTTACAATGCCCAGGATAGTGCCCCCACAACAAAAAGGTTAATGCCAAGGTTGAAAAACCCTGCAATAGCTGTAGCTTCTATTTCTTTTAAACTATGGGATTTAAGGGGCACTAGAAACCAAAGAATCAAACGATTAAACCTATATGGCTGCAACTGAATTTTCCAGTTCCTTTCTTATTTAAAGAAAGTTTTTTGGTTTTTCAAATACGAAGTTCCTTCGTCTGGAAAACCCAAAGAGCTCAATATTACTTAAATGGCACAACCACAACAGTGTAGTGCAACAACAATACAGTCAACTAAGATTAAAAACTGGTCTAAGACTTTAGACATAGTAAGTTTTATTCATCTGGTGGTACTTGATGCTCACAGGGCACCGTACAACAAATTTTAAAAATACAATAGGAAAAAATTGAACAGCCAGAGATCAATTCCATCAGAGGGCCCACAGAAAAACCAACAAAAGCCCACAGAAAAACCCACCCACTGTCACCCCTTAAGAACATTTTCTTCCTGCTTAAGTTTGGCTTTAAGAAACACCAAAAGAAAGTGCGAAAGAAAAATTCTTCTGAAAGATAGTTAAAACTTCACATAGCGTCTTTCACATGGGTATGTCACAAAATGCTTTCCTTATTCAATAAGCATATAAAATCATCCAAATGTCTATGAGCCTCTATTTGGTCCCATCCTTTAAAGTCATAGCTGTATTTCCCTCACCTGTCTTCAAATTACTCGCATCAGTAAGTCATATAAGGCGGTCTCCTTTGTTCCACATTGCCACTATAAAGCAGATATATTTTCCATTAATAGCCAGGGCCCAAGCAAACTGAAGTTACCCAAGTACTTGAAGTGAAAATACAACTAAATTTTTCCAAGACTGGTTTAAAACCAAATTTTGGCTTTGAAACCTAATCGTTTTCTTCAATTCTCATGGTTAGAAATTACTGAAGGTCATTTGACATAAACTACAGGGAACAGCAAGATGTAAAGTTACATGGGGGCTACTATTACAAAAATTTCAATAAAAAGATTATTTGGGCAATTTGTTTTAGTACACACGGACATGTTCTCACAAAGTTATGTTACACAAGGAACAATAAGGAGTTATAAATTCTGCCTGAAGAGTCAGCTAATGCTCAGTATTAATTTTGTAAAAGTCAGCCAATTACAAACTGTCATGTAAGCCTCCAAAACAGGAGGCCCTAAGTGTTAACAGTTGGAGGAACAAACCTCCTTGTCCCAGTGGAACAGTTTTACTTACAATGGCAGTCACCCCATGCTGACCCTGCTACAGAATCTCATTTCCCATTAAAGTTCACCAAAGTACTAACCAAAGGAGACAAAACTGCTATGGGTAGTAAAAGGACTAAAACGAAGAAATTTTTGGTCAGGAAATTAGGAAAAGCTGAAAATATATTTAAAGTTGTTGCCAAAACATAGTAAGTACTGCCTTAATGCTTGGTTCCTCAAGAATTAAATGGTTTCAATTTATGCTTGACACCTACAGATCAATTTAAGCAAACCTAGAGATTTTAGCCACTGCCATTGTATATCACAGTACATAAGTAATAGTACATAAGTCACTAGCTGTGTCTCTTTTTCATTATACTGAATTTCTTAAGGGCAAGGGGCAGGTCAAAAGCACCTTTGCATCCCCTACACTAAGCACAGTGACTGGTATACAGCAGGTGTTCAACAAGTATTTACTGAATACATTGTTGAGTAGTGGCTTATGACATGGGAAAGAGCCCAAAGATTGTCTTATTCTATTAGCAATACTTAGGTAGAAAGCAGATCTGAAGTAAAGATACCTTCCCCACCTTCTAACCACAGACTCAAGAGTTAGACAGGACTTGAATCACTTCTCTTAAACATGTTCATAAAGCATTTTGAGAAATCAAGAGATGAAAGGCGCTATGTAAGTGCAAAATAGTATATGCAAGACAGGTTAGCAAAGGTGCTATATTTTCTATGGTGATGGAACGGTTGTGCTAGTTTGAGGTGAACACCCCCAAAGCTACTCTTCTTGATGTCATTATCAACAGAACAATGGAATTTGACAAAGATGCCATCACTTTATATAGTTTATATTCTAGCTACTTTCTATAAACCAGGTAACAGATAATAAAATTAAGCCACTTATTCTACACAAACCAATACTTTATCAAAGTTCCGCATTTTACAAGTCATGTTCAAAAAACACACACAAGTTAGCATTTTGTACACAAATGTTTATTTCTCAATTAAACATTCCCTTTAAACATAAGGAATGAATTCTAAATTTTCATAAAGATGAATTAAAAATGAAATCCCTCCAGTATAGCATGTGTAATCACTGTGTTCTTGGTCACTACTGGCGTTTACTATTTAACATCAAAAACAAAGACAGGTTATTTAAAAATCATGCTACTGATTTCTAGCTCTTCCTCTATGACCAGTTCTACCTGATCTGCAATGTTTAAAAGTTTACATCACCAAATCGAAGCAAGTTTAAGAGGTGAAACAGCTGTGCATTAAACACAAAATAAACAATAAAGTTATAAGATATAGTCAAGTTCGTAACGAATATAGGTGTTCTTATCATCGTTGTAGATTCTTGGGTAATGTGCTATGAGAGCATCCTGTGAACCAATGTAGATGGAGTTGTAAATTTTCCAATACACGTCTCTGACTTTCCGGGCCGGGTGAAACAAACCCTAGAATAATTAAAAGTTATGTATTATTTCAATTTTCAGTAACATACATAACCTTAGCACAACTAACCAAAATACCCACAAAGACAGGATTCCAAACATTTCCCTTTAAGAGGGAAAAAAAACCTGACAAATGCACAAAATTGCAACAAGCAAAGACAAAATGTAATCTCTCCTCCCCCCCACAAACGTCTTCCCTATACCCTATTCATAATTAGGAACAGTGACTTAATTCAACTAAATTATTTTTCTGAGTAAGCCCTTAAAAATCTTAACCTTACCTGTAAACAATACTGCAACATTCTACATGGTCCAATGGCAACTCTCAGGCCCTCCAGGGCTCCCATAACTGCCTGAATTACATGGGGAGATGTCTCAAACACATTGGGCCATACATAGTTCAACAAGTGATTCAGTGAATCTTCGCAACCAAATCCATAAACCCCAAGTGACATGTGTTGCACCACTGCACTAGCCGTCTGCCTGTGCACAAGGTCCCTGCAACAGGGTGGGGAAAAAAGCTCTTTGTTAAGACATAGTCTTAGTTTTACAAGTATTTGCCTGCCCTAATTAGAAACTAAATTACAAATTCAGTGCAGTCACCTCATACCTTATGTATCTGATATAGAATGCCTTTAGAATGACATAATTCTGCTTGAGCACATTTACTTTAATGGTTCAAACCTCACTGTGGTTCAAAAATAAACCATATTTCCTAATTAACCTGTGAAAGAAGTATGAGCAAAAGCGCCGTGTGCAGCGTACATTTTAGTATGATACTAAAGAGGGGACACATGACTCTTCGATATGAATAACAGTAATATCTCATTTTGAATTCTATAAACTTAACAGACTTGAAAAAATAATTCAATCCTGGTATGTAAGAGATAACTAAAATTAAATCCTTTTCCTTGTAAATTTTAAGTTTCATTCAAAAATGCAATTTAGGGAGAAGGAACAAATTTTTTTTCAAACCTAGAGTAAGAATTCTATCATCTCCCATGTTAACTGCATTTATGTTTATGACAAATCACTGAGCTATTTATTCAACAATTACTCAACTGAGTACAAACATCAGATAACAAGTTTGTGGTGGGTATAAAGAACAAGTTCACACTCTTAGACTTCAAAGGAAGTTACAACACCTTAAAGGTATTAAGAAAACACACTGAACTTACTAGTATCTTTTCTTATTATCACTATAATAATGCTTCAGCTATTAGACCTCACAGCAAAGCAGTATTCCTCCATTAATAAATTTCCCAAATACTATTTCTTCTCATTTAGTAATCTTCAACGAGCTGCACCTCAACTTAATAGTACACAATATAATTTTTAACTTCAGGTCACATACTTCAAAGGCTGCACACTATGATGCTCAGGCACCCCTCACTGAGGAATATGAACAATTTGCTTCTAGTTTACTGGGCCATCAAAGGTGACCAGGCTTTTACAGAGCACGGTATCTGTTCTGTCTCTGTCTTGCATTTATACCTTCTGGTAATTTGTTGAGTCCCATTAAGTCTCCCTTTTGGAAGGTCATGAATGAGTAACTTTACTCTGTACACAAAAGTAACTGGACTGGCTCTAATTTGAATAGCTTATCTTTCCTGAAAAATAAAGAGCCAAAACAGTCATTTCCACTACCTGGACCTTGACCTTTCCTTTACATTCTTCAGTTACTTTTGTGTTTAAAGTTGTAGGTCAGTCTAGACAGTTAAAGGCATCAGGAATCTGTCAAATAGCTCAAGCAGTACTGTATCAATGGCCACTGCCTGCACAACTGGGGCCTGAAACGGGAATAGTGTGGCTATGTTCAGAAGTTCAAAAGCCTAATGGAAATCTTTGCTTCACATCCAGTAACGTAAAGCTAAAAAGACAATCTCTTTGTCACATCAATAAGCTCATGCTTATCACTTCCTCTATATTTGACTTTAATTTTTAAAACAAAAGTTTATCAAATTACTGCTTTCAAAATGTATTTAGTCTAAGATATGAAAGGGGGATTAAAAAGGGGAGGGGGCACTTGGAAGAGAAAATGTGGGGAACCACTATAGCATTTATATTATTTGAAGAGAATAGTCATGTTCAGTTTCATAAAAATCCAGGCCAGTATTCCCTTTCTTTAACTGCATCATATCAAATAGGTCATATAATAATTATTCCAGTAAGTTCTAAAATAAAGGAAGAATTATAACTACTTCCTTGCATTTAATTCAGGTCACTTACCTATCCATTAAAGCATCTTCAAGTAATGGTGTTACAGCATAAATGTAGTCCTTTCCCATTTCACCAATATATTCAAACAAGAAGGAAAGTGATTTTAACACTCCATTTTGAACATTCAGCTCAGGAACTCTGTATTCATTCATTAAGGCAGGTAGTACTGTGAAGGGTGAACATGTTTCGGCGACGATAGCTATTGCTACAGTGGTACAAACTCTGTTCTGCCTTTCCTGAACTTTGAGGTTGTTTAAAAGTGTAGCCAATACATCATGAGGGCTGAAAAAAAGGCAATGTGTCAGCAAACTGTCAGATTATAAGTCAATTTTTTGGGGGGGGGGGGGGAAGAAAAAAGTGCAAAGGAATAAAACTTTATGGTAAATATTGGGAACTTTATGATTTAATGATAAAATATACTTTAAAGTCATTTGGCACTGACATTTGTTTCTACTTAAGAACTTCACTTATTTTTTTGTTAAGATTTTATTTATTTATTTATTTATTTGAGAGCGAGAGAAAGGAGAGCACAGAGAAGAGTGAGAGGAAAAAGCAGACTCCCTGCTGAGCAGAGAGCCCGACCCAGGGCTCGATTCCAGGACCCTGAGATCATGACCTGAGCTGAAGGCAGACACTTAAAATGAGTAATTCTAGAGTGGTCAAAACGTGGCCACTAGAGCTAGGCAGTATCCAAACTGCAGTCTCTCATGCCCCAACACACAAGATCTACTTTCCTTTTCTTATCTTCCCTCCCACATAACTTTTATTACATCTATACTTCTTCAAGCATTTATTTTACCACAAACTTAGAAAGACACGAGAGCTAAAAACAAAAACAAAAAAAAGGCACAAAAGTGGGGCGCCTGGGTGGCTCAGTTGTTAAGCGTCTGCCCTCGGCGCAGGTCATGATCCCAGGGTCCTGGGATCGAGCCTCACATTGGGATCCCTGCTCGGCAGGGGTCATGATCCCAGGGTCCTGGGATCGAGCCCCACACTGGGATCCCTGCTCGGCAGGGAGCCTGCTTCTCCCTCTCCCACCTCCCTGCTTGTGTTTCCTCTCTTGCTGTGTCTGTCAAATAAATAAATAAATAAAATCTTTAAAAAAAAAAAAAAAGCACAAAAGCTATTCACTGCAAATATCTTGAATGTATCACTGCTGAAATAAATTATTACTGCTACCAAAAAGAGGGTGAGGAGATTCCAACTAATTAATCTTTTATTCTGCTTTATTGCTTGAAAATATTTTCTGTTACTAAGCCCCATGTATGCATGGTATCTCATTTTCTAAAATGACTATTCCTTTATTTCTTCTAGTTTGGTTCTGATGAAGTAAAAGCAAATAACCATAGATTATCTAATAGTTATAATTTTGGTTGTTTGTGGATTCATTTTAGAAAATTATTTTTAAGGTTTTATTTTATTTGACAGAGAGTGAGAGAGAGAGAACAAGTAGTGGGGAGAGGCAGAGGGAGAAGCAGGTTCCCTGCTGAGCAAGGAGCCTGATGTGGGACTCAATCCCAGGGTCTAGGATCATGACCTGAGCTGAAAGAAGATGCTTAACCGACTGAGCCACCCAGGCGTCCCTAGAAAATTATTAAAACACAAAGCACTGAGGGGCGCCTGGGTGGCTCAGTCGTTAAGCG